ACTTGGATCCACAATGAACAACCATGGCAGCAAAATCAAATGTCATATTGCACTGGGCATATCTTCTATAAAAGACCTCTTTAAAGTGTTAAGAAGCAAATACTTCACTTTGAAGATTAAGGTGACTGTGACCCAAGCCATGATATTTTTAATTGCCTCAGATATATGTGAAAGCTCGACAATGAACAAAGAAGACTGAGTTGCTGCCTTTGAATTGTGGCCTTAGTAAAGAATAACAAAAATCATGGACTGCCAGAAGAAATGCAGCCAGAATGCCCCTTTAAAGCAAGAATGGCCAGACTTTATCTCACCTACTTTTGTCATGTTGTCAGAGGCGACCAGTCCCTGGAGAAGGATATCATCCTTGGTAAAGTAGAGGGTCAGGGAAAAAGAGGAAGGCCCTCAACAAGATGCATTGACACAGTGGCTGCCACAATGGTCGGAGCATAGCAAGGATAGTGAGAACAACTCAGGACCAAACACTGTTTTGTTCTGTTGTACCTAAGGTCGCTTTCATTCAGAACTGATCAACGGCACCTAATAAGAACAACATGAACTATATCTTAATCATTACAATAATAATTAAATGAAATAATTACTTCAGAAGTTGTTCTAAAGAATTTAAAAAGTATACAACTTAAAATAATGTGGTTTATACATTACTGGAGGCGGATTGAACAGTCCAATAATTAAAGAGGAGATAGATCTTAACATTAACTTAAACTGTGATTTGGTAGCCTAAACTCATTAAGCTTTATTGTCACAACATTTAAAAAAATACATATTCAACTTATGAGATACAGGGTTTGCACAGAAAAAAAGCAGCCTAAAACAAAATTCAAGGAGAATTTTAAAAAATGTTTTTACCTCTTAAAACACAGAATTCCAATCATTACAAAACTTTTTATGAAAGAGTTAAAACACAAAAATGTGTAAAATTAAAATGGATAACATGAAAAATAGAGACATATTTTAATCACATTTCATTTCTGGAGCTGTCACAAAATCTATAAAATTGTAAAAAGTAAAATTAAGCCTCTGTAAAAATTGAATAATTAAAAAATCTCTAAAGTACCTTTTTGCATTCCAGGCACCTGGCCTTATTTCAATCTCTTAAGAGATTTTCTCTAAATATTGCTTTTGTAAATTAATAAAGTCATATGACTCATGCATGTGAACTGATAAGGCCATAGGGTAAAGGTGATATAATACATTTTAATGTTGGAAAGGAGTATGGTCTTAAGTATTCAAGAGACTTGAACTTTTTATTCACTTTGATTCAACACATTTATTTGCAAGTATGAAGGGAAGAACTTCAATTTTCAGCATTATTAATAAGATTTAAAATTGGAAATAACCTATATGTATATAATGAAACCAAAAAACCAAACTCACTGCCATCGAGATGATTCTGACTCATAGCAACCCTTCTTTGAGTTTCCGAGGTGGTATCTCCACAGAAGTAGATTGCCCAGTCTTCCTTCCAAGGATTTGTTGGTGGGTTTGAACCACCAGCCTTCAAATTAAAATGTCTTAGGAACTATATCACCAGAGGTCTTATGTATATAATTGTTGTTGTTGTTGTTATGTGCCGTCGAGTCAAACCCGACTCATAGTGACCCCTCGTTGGGTTTCCGAGGCAGTATCACTACTGAAGTAGGATTGCCCAACCTTCCTTCCGAGGAGTGGCTGGTGGGTTTGAACCACCAGCCATCTGGTTAGCAGGCAAGTGTCTTAGCCACTATGCT